GAAGAAGAAGAAGAAGAAGAAGAAGAAGAAGAAGAAGAAGAAGAAGAAGAAGAAGAAGAAGAAGAAGAAGAAGAAGAAGAAGAAGAAGAAGAAACATCGGCGGCAGCAAAGGTGCAAATCTAAACGATGCGGAACAGGCTGGCCCAGCCTCTGTGGTGATCGATGGCTGCGTTTCCCAGAACACGAGTTGAAATAGTGGCCCTGTCCACCGCCATCCCGTCCGCCCCTGCCTGCCGTGCCGCAGCGGAGGCTGGCGGAGGAGGCAGGCGCGGCCGCGGCAACGTGTGCGACGTAACACACGCGATCAACGGCGTTATGCAACCCTCATTACGTTAACCCTCGAGAGGTGTTTGGTGGGGAAAGAAAAGAAATGGGTTGAAGAATGCTGTATAGCAGTTGACGTTAACAAACAAGAGAGAGAGAGGGAGGGAGAGAGAGAGAGATCTGCGTTAGCTGCTTGAGGGAGATTGGGAAGGGGTTTGGAAAGAGGAGGGGGGCAGGGGGTCGTTGGGGAGGGCAGTAAAACGTCTCGGCCAGACCTCGATTTCCGAATGGCCGTCGTCGGCTGCTTGTTCGGGAGGAAGTGACTCCTGCTGCTCGGCTCGGCCGCGCGGCCCAGGGGTGCCCAGGGGCGGCTTTGGCTCGCGAGCAGGACGCACCCAGACGAACAATTGATTGCGCCGTTGTTCTATTTCCCACCGACTGTGTGATGTGATTCGGGTTGAAGGTCTGGTGGTGGCGCTGCCGCTGCCGCTGCCGCTGCTGCTGCCGCGGCCCCCGTGGGCGGGGAGCATCCGTCTTTGTCCCTCTCACAAGCGCGAGCGGTACACTGCCAAGGGATCGACACGTCGCCCGCGCTGCCAAACCATACCGTGAGAAACGGCCCGGGCGCCGTGAGCCATCAGAAATGATTTAACAGAAGGCTTCGCGCGAGATCTTTGTTCAGCCGCGACATGTTGTGCGTGACAGCGATGTGGCATAACTGATGCTCGAGTTCCTAAGGAACAAATCGTCCGGCCGCGTCGGCGTCCCGCTCCGCGCGGCCGGCGCATAGCGTTCGCCCGACCCGCGGCCGATAGCCTCGCCAGCGGCGCGGGGCGGCGGCGCGCGGTGCCTACCCGGCCGGGCGGGGCCCAGCAGACTGGAGGGAGGCGACATCAGGCCTGGGACGTCAGCCTGGGCACTAACAGGAGGTAAAGTGAAGGGTCTTGTTGTCGAAAAGTTCGGTCGTCGCTCGTTTGCTTGTGTCGTCTGCCGGCTGCCGGTTGTCGCCTCGGGAGCGGCTTGTTTCGTCTGCAAAATAGAAAGTCCCGGGGCAAACGCGCTGAAACACACCATCAACGAGAATTCAAGGTCGGGTTGGGGGAGGCGACGACAACGTGTGTGTTAGTGTGTGTGTGTGTGTGTGTGTGTGTGAGAGAGAGAGAGAGAGAGAGAGAGAGAGAGAGAGAGAGAGAGAGAGAGAGAGAGAGAGAGAGAGAGAGAGAGAGAGAGAGAGAGAGAGAGAGGGCGACGGATGGGGAAATAACATGACGCCAAATTTTCTACGCGTCAAACACCGTGACGTCATGGCATCACGGCGGGCGGTTATGGAATGACGAAAGGATGAGGGAAAGGGGAAAGGAGAGTAAAGGGGAGAGAAAGAGACAGAGAGAAAGAGAGAGAGAGGGGGAGGGGTGCGCGCAGCTCAGGAGAATAGGCCCTTGCCAAGACGCTGGCCGCGCTGCACGTGGCTCTCGTATGGCTGGGCAGGCGACAGGGGCGGAGAGCACGCAGCTGGGGTGTGCCCTGGCGTGGTAGGAGCAGGATGGGGGTGGGAGGGAGGTGGGGGTCGATCTAATTTGCACTGTCCTTGTGAAATTTTATGGGCGAGCTATGCACCTAAAAAAACAAATGCATTATCTTGAAACAAAGTGATGCATACGAGTAAAAGGAGTGCGTGAACTTGTTTCAAGTATCTGCAGTTTTGGGTGTGTGGTGAGATTGTGAGAGCGAAGGATAGAATGTTTTTCTGGGTGAATATGAAGAGAAATCTTCTACAACGGGTAGGTACCGGGGCTATGGGTTCCGTCCGGCGTTCACCCTGGAACTCTCGGCAGCCGTCAACGGCGAGGATGACGACGGCACAGATTTCGCAGAGCGTGCAGGGGTCTGTCCGCAAAGTGGAGAGGGGGGAGGCGGTGGCGGTGCACCCGGCCGACGAGCGAGCACGCTGCCCCCTCGAGCAGAGTAGACCGAGCACAGGTGGGTCCAATCGCACGCTGGTAGCAGCGCGGCGGCGGGGGTGGGCAGCTCAGCTGCTGCTCCTGGTAGGGCAGAGGAGGAGGGCCCCTGCCCGGCTCCCACCCGCTCCCGCTCCGATCTGTATCAGTGGGCCAGCCCACTCCATGTATTTAAAAACCCTCGTCACGTCTTTTTGACGCGCGCGCAGATCCGGTCTATACCAACTGACGGGGCGGTACCAGCGAGGCCACGACTCTTTCATCTACCTCCCAGTGTTTGTTCTTTTTGTAATATTACAATATTACTACACGGTTCGTTTGTGGAGTGAGAGAACTGTCGCGAATACAGTTTAAGATTCTTATTTAATCATAAAACATAAAACATTGATCCACCTGGAGTACAGAATTTATGTATCAGGTGGCTGATTCTCCTCGGTTACCTGCATCTTTACACTACCGCGCTTGCGTGCATTATTCCAAGGGATATTAATTTGTTGCAAAGTTGGGTTCTCCTTGATCCAATGACCAGCCTTCCATGAAAATCAAAATATTCCTTTGGTTAGATGTAAACGGTAATTTCCTTAATTTATTAAACTGATTTTCTAGGTGCAGTTGAATTGCCTCAGGCCCGAGGGGTGGATGACTGGGCGGCTCCTGTGTACAGGCCAAAATGTACTCCAGGTGTTCTCCGATTGTACTCCGGCTGTTTTTGTCGCAAGTTCTCCGCGTACTCCGGCTGTACTCCGGGTGTACTCCGGTGTACTCTGCGCGCTCCGACCGGCAACACTCAGCGTTCTCCGACTGTACTCCGTGTACTCCGTACTCCTGTGTACACGAAAAATTCAAGTCGCCCACCCTCGCTCAGGCCACAGCAATGAGCAACATTCTCTTGCACTAACCTCAACTGCTCTCAGTCCAGACCAGTCCAGTCTTTTGGTTGACCAGTGCACTCTGCACATTATTCAATGCTCCTTTCTTTTTCTGACAGCTTCATTTGTTTCATGATATCGACTTTGATTCACAGCCACTCTTACTTGTCGCACACTTCGATCAACAGTGACTACTCAAAAAGCCGTTGCAGTTCTCTGGACTCAGAAAACTGAACTAAGAGTAGAGCGGCAGCCTCTCGAGTAGTCCTGCGTTGCGTGGTTACTTCAAAGAAGGTAAGGGATCAACCAGGAAGTAGAAACGTCATTGGCGTAATTCGCAGTTCCGAAACTGCTAAGTCCAGCCTCTGTAAGCTCTCACAGCACTGTAAAAACAAACACTGAAAACAGCGTTATAACGCACGCTATCACTAGATGATAACGCGGTGCACATTTCAGTTTTTGTGGAATATTTTCTAAACGAGCTCTGAGATTTAATTTTCGAAAGCTTCATCAGATTTCCCGCGAAATTTCCGATCAAACAAGCCTACATGTGATAGGGTTCGGAGTTCAAATAATAATACTGAATAAGACGTGTCCTTAGAGAACATTTGTTCAGAACCAGAACCCTATCACATGTAGGCTCGTTTGTTAGGAAATTTTATGGGAAATTCAATGGTTTCTTTCAAAGATTAAATGTCAGCGCTCGTTTAGAAAATATTCCACAAAAACTGAAATGTGCACCGCGTTAGCATCTAGTGATAAACACGCGTTAACACGCTGTTTTCAGTGAAGGTGGGGATCATCATTCCTCTTGGGGTGTAACTGAGTTTAGTGCCTTTACAGAGGCACTAAAAGATTCGCACGCCTGGAAAGGCACTGAAATGCTCTGAGGTGGTAAGTTTGAATGCCTCTGCTTCTCCAGTGAGCGCCTGGTAGGTAGGCAACATCATTCGTGCGGCGCATGCATGTATTGCGGGCTGGCCTACCCCGAGTCTCGCAGGCGCGGAGCTCCCGTAATTTGCCGAATGAATCTGTGAAAAACAAACTTAATGATTGCTCATTTTGCGTAAAATTTGTCCATCATTGCGTATTAAAAGTACGCAAGGAGAGCAGGTGCTGGTTCTTTTTATAAGCCGCGTATTAAAAAGTTGACAACAATTTAGTGTGCCTGTGCACACACACGCGCACTCAGTTCTTGCGGCGTATGCTAGCTCCTCCTGCCTGCACGCCCCACCCCCCCTTCCCCCTTACCCTTCCGCCTGCACACCACAGCGCGCGCGAGACAGCGGGCGTCTGTCATCCGTGCAACAACAACAGCTCCATCCCTCCACGAGTCATGGGCTCTGCCCGGCCCGCTATAGCCTACTGTCCCGTCCCATGCCAGCCCAGCCCAGCCGGGAGCCAGACTCCGACGGGACGGGGCGGGGACGGGCCTCGAAACGTGGTGTATGGCCCGGCTTGGCGCGCCAAACCGCGGCGGCCCAGCACATGGCGCAGCAGCACGACGGCGGGGCGGGGCGGGGCGCGGCCTCAGGCGAGTAAAGCCCCTGAGGTCCTCTGGGGCCAGCCAGGTCCCCCGGGAATAAGCAGCAACGAGGCAATCAAACTGGGTGCTGTGTTGTATCACGGCGCCAAAGGGTTGGAAGGAGAGGGGGATGGGACAAGGAAGGCAACCGCAGACGTCGCCACATCAGACGCAGTGCTTTTCACACTATTATTATCATCTTTTGCTATGTGAAGCTGCTGTGGCGCCGTGCGTAAGCTGTACTGTCTGTTTTTGTTTTGTTCTTGTGTTTGTTGCTTTAACTAAAGTCTCCACATGCACGCGCGTGTGCGACACTATCTGCCCTGTCACATCGAACACCCCCTGCTCAATCTTAAATTAGGCCGTGTCGGTGATGCCAAACGGACGCAGGTTGCCTGACGCTCGGCCCTTGCGCCTGTCAGTGGCACCGCGCTGATGTGATGGGCGTGACGTCAGCGCTCCCGGGGGGCGAGAAGTGAGTGGGAATCAGGTGAGCGCGAACACGACAGGACGTTTAGGGCGCCGAGGGCCCGTTTAGCGACGCTCGCTCCGTGTTGCTCCACGGGCTGCAGCCCCCCCCTCCCCCTACTCACACCGCGTTACTAGCGCGCCGCTTCAGGTTGCGGTGGGGTGGCCCCCTCGACACCACAGCAGCAGCAAAGGCATCTGGCCCAGCGAGTCGGGTTAATCTGCTAGACACAGCCTGTGTCAATCTGGAGATTATCCCGAGCGTAATCCAAGGTTTACCCGGGGTTATCCAGGGGTAATTCGACGGTTTCAAGGTCTAGGGCAAATCGGGGGTAATCCATGGTTATCTGCGGTAGGCCGTTGTACTGTACACGAGACCTCAGAGTAGTGTTTCCGAGTGTTTCTTCCTAGGCGCAAGGGTTCAACAGTACTGGACCATGATGTACCGGTACCGAGGATCGAACAGCATTGTGACAACCATCACAATCCCACTCTTTCAACAGAGCGCTGTACTATATTTGCATCGGTGGCAATTCGTGCCAACAAAGGCAATGTCCCCATCTTCAAAGAGTGCACGGGACTCACACTGTTCGATTTTCAGAGTCATGTGGTCAGTGGTCACGTTTTTTCCTCTAGTGGTTGTCAAGTTGGTTTTCGTCATTTTCTCTGGGGACAACTATCGTGCGTGCGTGCTAATATTGCCCCTCTAAAATTCCTCGAATTTGTCGCAAGAAATAATATGCCAATAAAACTTTACATTTCCTGGGGCAGAATTTTCATTGGGTTTTGTGTCCAGTCGGGCTTTCCGATGTCGAGGTCGGTTCAATGGGATTTTTGTCTCCGAAATCGTCAATTATTTCCGCTTTTGATGTCAATTCTATTTTGAATTTCTGCTTTATGGGTTTGTTGTTGTTGATCCTCTGCTGCTGCCCTGCCGCGCGCTGGTCGCCGCCGCCCCCCAGCCGCCACACACGTGCTCAGGGTGGCGGAAGCTTGCCCTTCTTCCCCTCTGCTCAGCACTGCTCAGCACTGCTCAGCACCGCTCGGCTCTGCTCAGCTCTGCTCAGCCGCGCCCGGCTCCAACCAGCGCGACGCTAATGGGATTGCATAGAGTTCAATGTCAGGTTTAATGGCCCGGCGTTGCGCCACGTCCGGGGAGATGGGGACGAGTCGATCAAAACACGCGACAGACTGCCAGGAGAGGGAAAATTTAAAATGAAAGAAGAAGCACACCAACCACACGTGTCCCGTGCACTGGACCAAAACATGGCGTACAGCTAGAGAGGAAAGCACAGTTCCCCATGCATTCTCGATTTATTGACTTTTTACAAACTCGAGCCGTTATGTCATGGCCCTCACCCTCACCCTCACCACCAGCACCAGCACCACATTTTTTGATTGTTCTCTTATTCTTACCCGACCACCCCGGGCCCGCGCCTCCCCCGCCGCCGGCCCCGCTGAGGCTGGCCGCGCTATTCGCGTCCCGGTAACCTAATTTAATAAGACAGTCCCCTTCGCTAATTGCCTTGTGCATTGCATTGTGGGCAGCAGCGCCGGCCCGGGCCCGGCCGTGCCGCTCGGTCAGTCGGCTGTGCTCGCCGAGGTGCTCGCCGCGGCTCATGGCTGCCCTGTGCAGTGGCACTTCTCCAAATGGGAGCGAGGAGCGGGTGGCGGTGGCCCGACTCAGACCAGCGCCATGAGGCTGGCTCCCTCCCCGCGCCTCCTCACCACCATATTCGTCCTCCTTCTTCTTCTTCTTCTTCTTCTTCTTCTTCTTCTTCCTCTTCTTCTTCTTCTTCTTCTTCTTCTTCTTCTTCTTCTTCTTCTTCTTCTTCTTCTTCCTCCTCCTCCTCCTCTTCTTCTTCTGCTGCTTCTTCTTCTCGCCGTAGCCAGCCCGCTACTGACCATCTCCTTCTCATCCTCACAGCCACCCTCGTCCCTGGTCTATTCTCTCGCTCTCTCTCTCTCTCTCTCGATCGGGATTCATAGATGTAAAGGTGCGTGATGTTTCTAATGCTGTGAGCTCAGCTCATGCGCTGCCTCGGCTATATTGAGGGCTGCTCGCCTTTGCATTGTTGCCGAGTCTCAGGTCTGGGGTGCCGCAGTCGCAGCCGCCTGGGTGGGTCAGTCAGTTGCAGCGGCAGCAGCCCCTCAGCAACCAATCACTTTCGCTCCAGGGGGAGGGAAACTGCAATCCCACAAAAGTGAAAATTATACAGTACGCGAGTGGGGCCTGGCCCACAGTCCTCCTTTCCTGCCCTGCCGAGTCCGAATAGGGTCACCATGGGTAACTCCAACCCACCCCCCTTCCCTCCTATATCCTATGGTCTCTTCCGGAAGAGTATCGCAGCAAGACGCTAGAGTGAAGGTGACATTCGCCCGTATGTCGGCAAACCGCCCCCCGTCGCGTCAGGCGGGCCTTTGCTCGTGTTTGAACTCTGCGGCATTTTCAGCAGCCAACCCCACCCAGCCCCAGCAGCCCCCTCTGTTCTATCACCCGGCCGCCAGCGTTAACGGCGCACTCGCCTCGGCGCCAGCCTACCAGCCTCGCCTCGCCTGTCGTTTGCTGCGACATTAACCGCGCCTATTCACGACACTATTTTTCACTAAAATCGGAGCAGCCCGCACAAAAGCCGACGGCCTTGTCTAAACTGATTGTGATGTAAGGAAGGAGCGGAAGCTGATTGTTTTTCGCTCCCTCTTTTGTTTATGTAAACAGTATACCGTTGCATTTTCAGTGCACCGTCCGTTTGTCCATAAAGTACGTACATTTTCTCTGTGATTGACGTCAGCGCCTGCGAGACTTGGGGTAGGCCAACCCGCGACACACGCATGCACTGGAAGCAAGATGTTGCCTACCTAGCAGGCGCTACGTGCGTGGCCTCGCATCATAGAATAAACTGGGCAATTTCGATTTCGTAATGGCGAATGCCGAAGGCAATTCATCTCCCAGTGGCGAATGCTGCAGCACTGTACGTTACAGTGAATTTCCGGTAAAAGTTACGCTGATGCGCCCTGCAGGTTGGTTCAGTCACCACAGCAGCTTACAGTGAATATTCGCTGGCGCGAACAGGGCTGCAGGGTTCGGCTTTCAACAGTGCCCTCCACCTTCCCCGTGCCCGGTGCCCCGTGCTCCTCGTACGCTCCACACGCTCGTGACGCCCCCTGAACCATGACGAGAGTGTGACGTCAGCGGCCCTGCTGGTCGGCGCGGGCTGTATGGCTTGGCCGGGACGGGCTGCGTGCCGCGGAGGCTTCGCATATACAGTGGCTGCCCAGGAGGGAGTTTCATGGTCACAAAAACACAAAACGCGCCCGCGCAGGCCCTCTCATTTATCTTATCCCTTCTCTTCCTTCCTTCCCTCTACCGGGAAATGCCCGGCCGTCGCGGGCCTGTCGAACAACTAAGTTGCAACGCGCGGGGGATGAGCTAGTGATGATATCTTCTCTGCTTTTCGCAGTGTGCCAGCGAGGCGCCGCGCTCGCCCCGCACCCGCCGGCCGCCCCGGCACATCAGGCTGTAAAAATAAATTGCGTCGGGATCACAAAAGCTTTCAGTCCAACACGGAACTGCGACCGCGACTACAAGGTCCCTGTTCAGAGAGCCGTCGGTTCACGGAGACAGAAGAAAAGCGAGAAGGGGAAAGGGGGGGGGCTCCTAGGCGGAGGGATGGCAGAGCCTAACGCTTGTATACTCTTACTCGTAGTTTATCTTTGTTGCGACGCGTTGTCATATCACGACATAATTTGCCGAGACTCTCCTCCGCGCCGCCACGCCGCGTCCTCCCTTCAATGGCTTACAAAGGGCACCTTTTGAGGTGTAAATCTCCGATTTCGTTGAAACTTGGAAAATGTAAGGGTTATTATAATAGAAGTCGGATGGCATTTGAAATTTTACCTAAACTTAACATTTACTAGGGGTTTATTTAAGCCTTACACACTGGCACCACTTTGACGAGTGACCCCTTAGAGCACTGCTTTACATTTTTCAAAAAATTTCTTTTTTAACATCTTACTCCTACCCTATATAGGGCAAAACTAACTGTCAGGTTTAGGAAAAATTTCAACGAAATCGGAGATTTACACCTGGAAAGGTTCCCTTGTTAGTTATTCATATATCTTCATCGGGAAGCTAAAAAAGTAAAGAGAAAACGGGGAAATGAGAAAAGAGTGAGACAGATGTGTGTACCTTTAGCTCGCGAGACTAAACCCCACGTCAGTGTTACCCCTCCGTTCGTACCAGGGGTTTGGCTTTACATAACTCACAACGGAACAGTAAGATCAGGCAGCAGGCCAAGATGGTACTCCATCCATACAGCACGCTGTGTCAAAGGCTGGAATAGAAATTAAAATAGAAATAATTGCACGGGGCAACATCATCTGTGGAAGGGTACAGCTGATTTTTGTGACTGGTACGTCTTTTTGCATGTCTAAAAAGTTTTAAAATATGTTTCAAACTAAACCTCGAGAGGACCGTGAAAGGTCACATTCGGACGTTACTGGGCCGGCCGCTGACACCAGCCAAGCCTCCACGGCGCCCGAGGATCGGCCTGCCCGCCGCGCTCGCCCGTCCCGCGGTACAGTATGCCACTGATACACAGGCGCTCCACGCCGGCGTCTGGAGTTGCGGATGTGGAAGAGGGGAGAGACGAGGAGGATGCCATAGGTGCAGATAGGCATGGGAGGAGTGTTTTCGTGGTGTTTTGCTTTGTGCCGTAGCACTGCCAACACTGCCCTTCCAAACTTAATTGTTGTGAATATGTAGAGTGGGTGGGGAGGGGGGTGTTCTTGTACATCTGTGTGCGCCAGTGTGCAATTCTTGTCTGTTTCACGTGTTTTCCGATTTATTTCCATGTGTTGTATGGTATGTTGTATTTTTGTGTATTTTTGGTAGTTCTCTGCACATGACTTCTTTGAGTTGGCCCCCTCTCGGCCCTCTCTGGACCCAGAAAATCCTCTCCTTGTCCTTGAATAAGAAAATTGTTTTTCTAAATTGTAACTCAGATTAGATAAACTTGTCACACAGATCAGAACTGGTCGAACAAACATGCAGAAGTGTTCAACACGTGCACAAATGTCGAGCTGATGATTTTCCAACGTACCGCACATTCTTAGTCGCTTGCAAGTTGTAACTTAGTAATAAAGTAAATAAAGTAGTCATAAACACAGTAATAAATTGTGTCTACCAGTTAAATTCATGTTTTACCAGAAAGCAGTTAGGTGGTTCAAATCACGAACAACTCACCCTGACCTCGACAACCCTCTCTCCTTACCAACAAAAGTATCATGACACTTTTTTCTTTCTTTTTTACCCCGGGGAGTTGGCAACACCTCCTTGTCCCGGGTCCACCCCTGGTCCACCCCGGGCATCCCCCTCTCCGTCCCCCACCTCCCTGCTCGCCAGCTCGCAGCGAGGTTACTTAAAGGCCTGGCTCTGCTCGGCTCGGCCTGTTCCGTTCGGCAACGCAAGCGTTGCACTCATTTCTCTCCCCCCTATAGTAATTTTTCCCTTGTGCCCGGTGATGACCACGGGGCCGGCGGTGTGAGCTCCCAGTGACAGTTAGTGGATAAAAAAGACTTTAGTGCAGTGCTGGTAAGTTTGGACGCCCTGTGCGCGTTGGAGGTGTCGGTGTCTAGTGTTGTCGGTGTGGAATGTCGCCAGCATGCGGTGCGACAGAGTGCAGCGAACAGTGCAGCAACGTCAGCTCAAAAAGTGCATCAAAGTGCGACGTGCGACGCCGACCTGCGGATTACTTCGGGGACAGAGAGAAAGAGCAGAGGGTGAAGGAGGAGGAGGAGGAGGAGGACGTCCACGCCGGACGTCACCGTCGAACGTCTTGTCGACCACCCGCCGGGCCGGGCCAGGCGCCCGCACCCCGGGCCCCGGGCCACCCACCCGCCCGCCGCCGCCTCAAGACAAGCTGTCTGTTCAGTGCTGACCGACTGGTGACAGAAGTGGTGGCAGCCCCCGGGCGGCCCGTCCTGCCTGACCCGCCCGGCTTGATGGACTCTCACTCTCTCACCCTCGCACTCTATCGCTCTTTCTCTCTCTCTCTCTCTCCCTCTAGTTATACTCCCGCGCCTGAATAAACAGTGCTGTGTAAACATATATACAGATTGCGATTAAGTGAGTGCATCTGTGGTCGGGATATGTACTCGTCCTGATTGGAGAGTGGTGATGGTTGTGGTCTAGTTGTGGTGCGAGTTGAGTGATGTCTGGACTTCTGGTTACACCGGATAATACTTTCTTTCTTTACGGGCGAATGTTATCGCTTCATGAGATATGTGTTTTGAGTGTTATACCTGCCTAGTAACAAAGGGGGGATTTCGATACACCCTAAAAATAACTAGATGATATCTAGATTCACCCTTCTTGATTTTCGTCCGATAGAGGATTGTTACCATGTTGGTCCTCGCAACTCCGGGTTGAAGGTGGACTGACGGGAAATCTCCTACATTTTGACGAGCAGTCGGGGACCCTAGCTTTCGTGGGCAGACTAAGCACGATGTTATCACGATTCTGGCTTGGCTCCTGGTTGGGGATAGTCTCTCGTTTTTACGCAGTCTATTTCGTTATTTTTGCAGACAGAACGAAGCCGAGGGGGCAGAAACCGTGGCTGAGGACGCACTCGCTGTGAAAAGAGGGGGGGGGGAGGGGGGGGCAGGAGAACGGCGTGCAGAGGTGGGGGATTATGCCATTACTTTTCCCCGCACCCCTCGGCTCTGATTTGGCACCGGCACGCTCGGCTCCGCTCTGTAGTACGTAGCGCCGCGTAGCGCTTGAAACGTAAATATCTCGAACAACATGGTCCAATGTCACGCCGCCGGGGCGGGGAGATACGACGTGTGTGTCTTTTAAACCCCCCTGGGCTGGGCTGGCCAGCCCGAGCAGTCAGCCAGTCAGCCAGCCAGCGAGCCATGCGAGCTCGGCAACGCGCACTCAAAATTTAAATAGAATCCCGCCGTTTTCCCGTCACTGGCACTCGTCCACAAATTAGCCGAGAACACATTTCGAAAAAGATACCAACATTTGGTTTTAATTGCGGTTGAGGTCTTAACGTTTTATCTCTTTTGAAACCGCCCTGATTTGAGTTGGTGCGACGTTGACGCTACGATTCGCATCCAATCGATTAAGAGGTGTGCATGAAGTACAATCGTAGAGGGGGGTGAGGGAAAGTCTCAACCTTTTATTCAAGGAATGCAGACGCAGTTTGGCGATGCACGTCCAGGTCCTACTGGTTACCTCTGCCTCTTCTCCTACAAGCGCTGGTCTTTTGCTTTCAAAATAGCTCCTTCATAAATTGACAGTGACATGCTAACTTCTTGGCACCCCTACCCTCTCCGGACCTGACCCGCCCAGGGCTACTACGCGTCGCTTTCTGTTCCTCCCTCTCGTTTTCTTCATCTGCCTGTCGCTCAGTCAGTCAGTCGCTCAGTCAGTCAGTCAGTCAGTCAGTCAGTCAGTCAGTCAGTCAGACAGACAGACAGACAGACAGACAGACAGACAGACAGACAGACAGACAGACAGACAGACAGTCGGCCAGTCTCCCCTCCTCGGTCTTCCGCCCCGCAGCCCAGCCCTGCACCTGTCCGATGAAGTCCGACCCTTTTCCTGGCAGGGTACAGCCCACCCCACTTTACACCCCGACACGCACTGCCACGCTCCGCTACGCTTGGCCACTCCCAGCCGCGATGTTTCACCCCGCCCCCCGCCCCGCCCCGCCCCGCCACTGCAGCCTAACGTAATGGCCCCCTGTCTCTGACCACCCCTCCCCCGTTCGCCGCTTTTACTTCATTACTTATAACACCTACCGTATCGTCTACAGCGCGCTTTGCCTTTGTATTACTTTTCTGTATTACTCTTTTAAAAAGGATTGCGAAATATTCTGTTACTATTTGACCTGTTCCCTGCACAATTTACGTACGACTACTAAGGTCCGCGAGCAGGTAAAATTGGTTACTGTCCCGTGAATAAAATAGTTTCCCGACAAAAGGAGTGTGTACCTCACGCTCGGCCATCCGCCCCCAGCAGCTACCACTAGGGCTTCCATTGTAGTACGGCCCTGGGAGGGCCTGGGAGGGGGCGGGGGGCTTTGGGGTTGTCCGATGATGGGGTTCTCTTCTGAGCCTAGGGGGCCGTCCGACGAGGTCCAGGCGCATGACCACCACCTTTCAACTGTGTGGCTCTGAAACATGTGAGTAGATTCAGAGTAGTTTTTATAGGGGTAAAGTTGTAGACCGCGCTATGGCCGTATAAGGTGTGTGGAAGGTACGTCGCCAATGGCAGAAACTTATGGCTCGTGCCAGAAGTACGGGCGGCTGCCGCTTTGTGCTCGTCCCATCGCGATCGGGAGCGTTGCCACGGCGCGGTGCGGCGCGGTGCGGCGGCTGGGGCGGCTCGCGCGCTTTCTGTTGCGCAAGTCTCCGGCCTGCAGCGGAGCCGCTATTTTCATCTGAGCAGCTCGCCGCGCAGGGCGAGCGCCCCACGGCCCGCCGCCCAGCCGCT